TATATATATATATACTTAAAAATATCTTGTTCATTTCTACAAAAAATAAAAAAACAAAAATTCAAAAATGACGCATTGACAACTAGGAAAAAGAGTCTTTGAGCGGCTGTTGTTAGGTAACGAAAAACAAACTGACAACAAACACCAAGAACCGCTGTCATCCTTCAACCGGAAACAATTTCTTTGAGACTTTCCAAATGAGCTTTTTATTAGCTGGCATGCAGCTATAAACCAGGCTCCTGCATCACTTTGGTTTGAAGTTGGAAAATAAAAAGCTTGAGAAACAAAGATCTTACTGCAAAACACCTTAATGTGCGATTTTGTTTTCTCGACTTTAGGCCAAAAACTGTCTTCAAAACCAAGTTTTCAAGCAACATTAGAGATATGTGTAACTGAACTTTCAGCAACTCACATTAAATCTTCATGAGCAATTTATCAGCATAAGCTATTATGTATTTATATTTATAAGTTTTTCAGTGTTTACCAATAAAATGATATATTAAAAAAAATCAAGTCGAGACTGAAAAATAAGTTCATCTGCGCTACACTTTGGATGTTTTCTTTCCTAAAGATGCAAAGCAAACAAGTCCAAAACATTCAAAACAGCTTATCCTTAGAGCGCACCAATCATGACCTACTTGTGGGGTGGTTCAAAGACCCCACCCCTAAAATATTTATGAGTTTCCCTCCTTTATTTTTATTTTATCTTTGCAAGCAACATGGGATCAGTTGCACAGGATAACCAGTTTTTATCACATTCCCTGTTTTCTTTTTAACCAAATGTCTGATCCTTAAACTCTATAATCGGTTGATCAGACTGAGCTGAAGATGTTTTGGATAAGATCCTGGTACCCTCAGCACCCCAAGGGGGAAGACATACTGTATGAAGAAAGAGGTGCGCGTGGAGGGGGAGGAGGTTGTTCTCTGACTTATATTTGGGTGAAGACCCTCGCTCCCCTCCCTATCACTTCCAAGCCAAAAAGGCTGAACTCCATTCCACGAACACACACTCGCAAACACACTCCGACTAATGTTAACATCATCTTCCATCCAAAAAAAAAAACTTAACATAATCGAGGCGAGTGCACAAACATACAGTAACACGCCAAAACCATCACTTGTCATTGGCCCAGCTGCTCCCTCTTCAAAGCTGCTGGCTTCTGGGTGGCCGCGGAGATGAGAGCAGAGGAGAAGTTCTTAAGAGCTGAAGCCCAGGCCAAACGACACTGAAAGCACCCATGAATTTTCTTCTGACTCCTCCGTCTCGATGTGAGGAGAAACCTCGGACACTCAGCCAAAGTAATAGAAGAGGAGCATGTGACGGCAGACTGAAGCGTCTGATAAAACTACAGAGGTGTGTCGCAGTGTTTGTATGAGTGCATGACAAACGATGAAAAGGATGAATCCAAATACTTTTTAGTAAATTTATAACTCTAATTCCCCCAAAAAGTTGGGACATTAAGGCCAATAAATTTAAATATTGTATATATAAACAGATTTCAATCAGGTTCAAATCTCGTAAACTTATATTTTACTCACAATGGCAAATAGTGAACAAATGCAATGTTTAAACAATAAAAGTGCAGAACATTTTAGGGGAAAAATAATACTTTTTTAAAACTACATGGAAGCAATACAATTTAAAAAAGTAGGAAATAAGATTTTAGCTGTTTCCAGGATTTTTTGTCTCATGATGCAGAAAAAGTTTTCAGTTGGTCACAAGTCTGGACTGCAGGCAGGTCAATTTAGCATCCAGACTCTTCTAGACTCAAAAAACTGATGTGTTGGATTTACTTAACCAAGTTATGGCAATAATTTCCACTCAACTAATGTTAAGTAAATCCAACAATCTGTTTTGTGAGTGTACTACAGAAGCCATGCTGTTTGTGGGCCAGCATTGTCTAAATAAGTTAGTAAGTAAAGTTGATTCATATAGTACCTTTTGGAGGTACGTATATCACGAAGTGCTTCACAACAAAACAAAAAAATATGTGCACACCCACACCTAGGGTCAGTTTAAATGACCAGTCATTCTGCATGTTTTTGGTCTGTGGGAGGAAACCAGAGTGCCTGGAGAAAACCCACATATGCACATGGAGAACATGCAATATCCACAGAGAAATGACTAAACCGAGTTCCTAACTGCTCAATTCTGTTGTCTACAGGAGAACCAAAGGCTTATTTGGAATAGCTGTTTGTATCAAATATAATAAACAATCCTAATCATCATGGAAAACTGAGGTAAAACCTCCTGGAGCACATAATGTGCTGCCATCCCTCCATGTTGTGTTAGCTCATCCCTGGTGGTTACTGTATGTACGGTAATCAAGATTTGAGTTTGTTCCCAGTGCAGTGAGAGCCAACAATCTAATACTTCAAAGTAAAATCTCCAAATGTATTGTTCTGTTTTAGTGAGTGTAAAAAAAACCCATCCTTTTAAACAAACCACTTTACGTACAAAAATTTGTGTTCATTCTTTAACAACATGGGATTTAATATTTCATGTGAGGTAAAAAGCACAGTTTGATTAAGACTTTAACAGTGAGAACTGTTCATTTTTTTAAACATGCATCCACGTATAAACTGCCTCAAACCTTGTTGTTGTTGTTGAGGCTCATGCTGCTGAGAGCCGACAGTTTGGCCTCCAGACTCTGATGTCCCGGCTGCTGCTGCTGCGGCGGCTGCTGATGGTGGAGCTGCTCCCTTTGGAACTGCTCCCTCATGCTTCTGGCCTCCTGGATGGCTTTCATCACTGCATCTTGGTCCCCAAACAATGCTGTAGAATTGAGGTTGGCCAGAATGTCTGCAGAGGACAAATTAGCAGAAAGGCCATATAGTATAAATCTTAACTGGTTAACCAGAGACTTTTGTCTGGTTTCAATTTTTTTTTCTGATCATGATCGTAGGGGTGGGTGGAGCCTATTCCAGCAGCTTCAAAAGTTAATTATTTGTGGATGTTCAGCCAATGATTATTTTTTGAGTGTTTGAATAAAATGTATCCAGTAGATCATGTTTGTTTATTTATTTATTTATTTATTTATTTATTTATTTATTTATTTATTTATTTATTTTGCTATATCAGACAGAATAGGTTGGCTCCGACATACTGTATTAGGCAAAGATTTTACTCAATGTGTTGAGCTCAGAGTATGTTCAGTTAATGACTCTCAACTACAACCATGACAAACTTTTAGTAAAATATCTGTAATAGTGATAAAATTATTGGCTACCCACTTAGAAAAAATTGTCTGGCCCAGATCTGGCCCACACAAGGCACTAACACTCCAACACTCCTCCCAGACATTGCAAACAATGATGACCCTTTGGTGGCGCAGATATGGCTTGCCAGAGGTGGACCATGCATGGGCCAGAACAACGTTAACCAAATCACAATCGGGCCACTGTGTGGGTCAGAACTGGACCAAACAAATCTTGCTATTATCTTCTGCCTTTTGCCACCAACAAATAAAAAGTACTTTTTTAGTCTTTCTTTGTGAATCTTCAAACAATTAATTTGTACAATCTGTTTTTTCATTGGGTTTTGCAAATTTTAAATTTGTTTCACGGAGTTTTAGCAAAGTAGATACATTACGAGTCAGCTGTTCTTGAGGCACCTCTTTTAAAAGTCCAGTTTGTGGGTGAACAAAGTGCTGAACACTAACACTTTTAAATTGCTGCATACAAATGCCCCATTAAATAGAAGTGAAATAACTGTAATAAAACAGGATTTCCAGTCTCATATCACATCCACGTTGTTTTCCAGTTCACTTGTGTCTAAACACGACAGAGCCCTCCTCCCCCCTTGTTTATGTGTTGTGCTTCACACTTTTGAAGCCCAACGCACATTTGAAGAATTAAAAAGAAGAAAGAAATAAAAGGATGCAAAGTTTCCGTTGCCCTCCTCGTTTAATTAGCAGACAAGTAGGAAGGCACTGTACGCTTGGGTGGCCGTTAAAATGGGCAAAAAATAACTTAGCAGAGAACACAAGCGTCGCATTCTCAAAGCCACTCCAGAGGAGCTGGTGAAATTGTTTTCTGGGGGGGGATATAATGAGAGGCTTTAGATTGGCCTTAATAACAGATAGCAGAGGTAGGAGCATAAAAGGTCTAACGCGGGCAGACAATAATGTGAGGAAGCTCTTAAAAACCAAATAACGTGTGCTGGGTTTCACTGCTTCCGCTGCCGGGGTTTTCATTGGGAGTAAATACAGGGCTTTGGACTCCTGTAAAACACAAACACTCAGTCAGAATACACACAAACACACACACACACAAACACGGATATCCTTGTGAGGTTGAGGTGTCTGCAGTCTTTCATGCGACACTGCTCAGTTTGTCTGTGGGTGGCGGGGGGAGGTAGGTGTTTGGGCGCATGGTGCTTTTTTTTTCCACTTAAAGGTAGAAGACTACATTTTACACAGGAGTGGGAACACATCAGCCATGGGTGGATGTTTAGGTCCTGATGTGAGGAATGCAGTGGTGGGGAAAAGTGAAGTATTTGTTTGGGAACAAACACCAGTTGTCCCTTGGGATTTTTTTTTCTCTTCCTGGCCTTTAGAATCCAAACTCAGGCAAGTGATTCTCATTAAAAATATAAATAAAGTCAATTTGATGTACTTCTTAAAGACCCCCTTCACACTGGACGATGACCCCGCCACAATGTAAATAATGAGCCAGAACATGGCTGATCTACATATTCTTAGTGAGGTCTTCAGGGCTTTATTATGTTAATAGATTTATAGGATTTATCATTACGGAGGCAGTGTGTCAGGGTCGTAGATGGAGTATGGGAGAATAAACTGACAGAAGTAGAAGAGTATTTCTGCTGTACTGTCTCAGTTTGGGTCATTGTCTGGAAAATGATCATGCTGGCCTCGAGCATAGGCAACTACTATTATCATGACACCTAATGCCGACCATCTGCAAGCGTTAGACACCATACAGGGTCCTGATTGTTAAAGCAGGAAGAGGGTCCCCTCATGATAGTCTTAGTACAAGCTTTAAGTCCTGACCCCTATATAAACAAAAGAGACATTACCCTTAAAATAGGTCAAAAACACCTCAGATAATTGTTTGTCAGGTGTTGACACCTTTTTATAGTTTGTACCTTGCTTCTATATGTTCAAATATTATATTTTTAAATATGTGTAGATGTAATTGTGTGTGGGGGGTGGGGGAGGGGGGAGTAGGCAGGATTCTGGTCCCAAATTAACATTATGGGGACCCGCAGCTTTCACTTCACAACGTCAGAGGGAGCAAACTGGTATAATACACACTGACGGTTATACCAATGGCAATGGTGTGGCAAGGTCTAGTGTTAAGCTGCACTGTGTCCAGTCAGAAAAAGCCATGAGCAGGGCCCATGGTGTAGTGCTAAAGTGGGCATGAGAATATGTAGCTGGTGTATTTTGAATAGTGAGGGCACAGGAGAGACACTTGATACTTTCTTTTTTCCAAATTTGCAGCAATTCAACCTTGTTCTACTAAGGTCTGTAGTGATCATTCCCCAGTGTAAGTAAGACCCAAGCAAAGAAACCGTTCTGGTAGACTTGGTGAGTCAAGTGGATGCTGCTGTTCTTGTATTTACAGTGTTGGCTCTGGCTCCAGTGAGCAATGATAAAAACAAACTACTCAAACCAACTTCCAATGAAGTTCTAAGGGGCCACAAGAGTGGGTACAGGTTACTTTTTGATTCCTGCTATGGCTAACACACCGATTCCTTGAAAGAGCTACAGTATACAGGTGAATGTACAGTAAATCAGTGTCACCTACCCAGCGAGTTGTTCCTGCCCATGTTGGGGCTGGGGATGCGTCCTTTGCCCATGCTGGGAGGGCTGGTCTTGTTCCCAGAGAACAGACTCTGTGTCGGTGACGTTGGGGTGCGAAGAGGCTCAGCTGTCTTAGGTCTGGCTGAGAGGTTCAATGGCTGTGTGGATCCTTCTTCCTGTTAGACAGAAGCAGTTTATGAAACTACATCATGACACCTTTTAGTTTAATAGTTAATAAAGTGTTGTATAAAAGCACCACGAAGGCTTGAAAAATTAAACGTTACATGAAAACATCTTTAAAGAACAACAAAGAATCTCGGAAAGAAGTCAGAAAACTGCAGGATCTGACACATTTTTGGGGGGGCAGGTTGTGTTTGATCCCAGGACATGATATGGTGGTACAGGTGCTTAGACGTTTTTATGCTCCGGATTCCTCCCACTGTTTTACTGATGCTACTAAAATAACTAAAAGTGGGTGTAAACATGCACGATGATTTATCTCTTTTAAGTTAGGCTTTCCACTGAACATTATCTGGGTTGAATGAAATATAAACTCTCCTCAAACATCTAGGCTACTGGGTTGAATCTGGTCTAAGAGCTAAGGTTTTGCAGAGAAAAATATGTTTTAGACATATTGGCACTATCACAATAAAGGCCTACTTACAATTAAGTCACAGTTTGGATTTCCCTTTATTGATTTTTTTAGATTAGCTTGTCCAATAATGGTAGGGGTTACACTTATGTAAAATAATATAAATATGCTGTAATTATTACCTTTTAAA